CATTCCCAGTCCATTCTATGCCTATCTTAATGGAAAAATCATCTATAATTTAAAATAATCTATAACTAATAGGGATAAACAATAAGATTCCTCAGGAAACCTCCTCCACCCCCCAAAAAAACAACTCTAAAATGTTATTTCTAGAGAATAATAGCAAATTATATCCTCTCTTAGGTTATCTTGAAACATCTCTAGTATTTTTATGAGGCAATGAGGAAATAATACTCTTAAATTTTATGGGAAAGCCCTAAAAGTTATCCAGTTAATTCTACATGAATTCTGCCCCCAAGGGTTGAGATCCAGAATGTCTGGTCTCCAATAATTTCAAAAGGTTGTGCTTCCTCTTTTGCTGTAGCTGTCTAGTACTTGAGATTCAACAAGGACAAGTGCAAAGTCCTGCACTTAGGACTGAACAGTCCCATGCACCAGTACAGGCTGGGGGCTGACTGGCTGGGCAACAGCTCTGCAGAAAAGGACCTGGGCGTTACAGTGGACAATCAGCTGAATATGAGCCAGCAGTGTGCCCTTGTTGCCAAGAAGGCTAATGGCATACTGGGCTGCATTGGTAGGTGTGCTGCCAGGAGGTTAAGGGAAGTGATTATTCCCCTCTATTCAGCACTGGTGAGTCCCCATCTGGAGTACTGTGTTCAGTTTTGGGCCCCCCCCACTACAGAAAGGATGCAGACAAATTGGAGAGAGTCCAGCGGAGGGCAACAAAAATGGTGAGGGGGCTGGGGCACATGACTTCTGAGGAGAGGCTGAAGGAACTGGACTCATTTAGTCTAGAAAAGAGAAGACTGATAGGGGATTTAATAGCAGCCTTCAACTACCTGGAGTGGGGCTCGAAAGAGCATGGAGGTAGACTGCTCTCAGTGGTGGCAGATGACAGAACAAGGAGCAAAATTTTCAAGTTGCAGCAAGGGAAGTTTAGGTTAGATATTAGGAAGAACTTTCTCACTAGGAGAGTAGCAAAACACTGGAACAGGTTACGTAGAGAGGTGGTGGAAGCTCCATCCTTGGAGGTTTTCAAAACCAAGCTAGACAAAACTTTGGCTGGGATGATCTAGTTGGGGATGGTCCTGCTTTGAGCAGGGGGGTGGACTAGCTGACCTCCTGAGGTCCATTCCAGCCCTAATTTTCTATGATTCTACTTTACAAACCTTTGGCAAAAATAGCAGCTTTTTGCTCTGGAGAGCTGTTTCCTTAGACTGACTATCATAGAGGTGTTTGTTTTCTACATAGTTGCAAATAGAAGGTTGATTTGATCTCAAGCTTTGGCACATTGTGGGATGGGACCTTAGGAGCAGACACTATGTGAATGTTAAGGTGCATAAATTCAAAATTGCCTCATGGGGTGGCCACCTAACTCTGGTACCACTTAAACCTCACTAGCCTCTTCCCTTTCTGACCTGAAAGTTCCTTAGGCACCTACTGTTATGGGTCTGTGTATCCTCAGGACTGTCCTAGCCAGAGCAACTAGGTGCTTTACTTCTACCTAAGTTGCACTGGAACCCAGAAACTGAGCAGTGCAATAAGGAACTGAACCCAGAGGTATGTTAGAGCCTGTCTGATGTACAGTGGCAGGACAAGTCCCCTCACAAAATGCAGCCAAAGCTGCTTCCTCTTTGAAATGTGGCCAGATGAGGAGAAGGAGGAGCAGGAGGCAGGAGTGGCAGCGGCAGTGGCAGCCATCCTTGCTATAACAGCTTAGATAAAGTAGGAAACATGTGTTCAATTCCAGTATTCAGAAACAGATCTCTCATCTCCCTGGCTGTTCTCCTGGCTACCGTATAAAGGATGGATACCACCGGCTCTTTTGGCTGTGCTTTAAAGAGAAGCAGCATGACCTGCTCTGTTCTTTGAAAGAGTCCTTTGTGGGTGCCTACCCTCATGTGAGGATTAAGGGCTCTGGATCCTGTGCAGCTGGAGGCACCTGCCTGCAGCCCTGCAAGCCAGAGCTTGACTCCTGGCAAGGGTTAGGAGTTTCAGGCACAGCTCTACCCTTAGTATTTCCTGTTGGCTAGCTCCAGACAGCTTCCTCATGAGCATACAGGAGTCTTTGATTCTTCTGCTGAGCCCCCTAATTCTCTTGTATGCACTACATCTGGTATTTGGGGGTTGTGGGGAAGGATGGGTTCATATAAGTTAGGTGTTGAAGCATCTTTTTATTTCCATACATACTGATAGCGATTATTCATGAAACAATGTAATAAGTATGCATTGAACCAATTCATAAATTCTTACTGTGTAAAATTGAAGTAATCTCAGAAGAAATAAAGTAAATTTGAGAAAGCTGTTAGGTCACAGCCAAGTGTTTAAATATGTGCTTAACTTTTAAGCCTCTGAATAGTTCCAGTTAAATTCTTTACTGGCTATTTGTATTATCCCAGTTTGAATCAGAGGCCTATTGTGCAGGTTGTACTGTACATGGGCGTGATAAAAGACTGCCAAAGTCCAAAACTATGTGTAACTGAAACAGACCACAGAGACGGTTGAATAGAAGGAGGTATTATTATCACCTGCAGTTTACAATTCAGATACATTCAAATAAGGGGCAGAGCATTTACATAACTTGTTTTAGACCATACAGGAAGAAAGCTCGCCTCGCTCCCCAAATACATTTCATAAGCTTAGTCCTTCTTCCTGAAGTGGCACTTATGGACAAACACTGAACACATACTCTATTCTGACTTGAGAGATAACTTAACTGGCGATGCATGTGGAACTGAAAGCTATGTCTCAGAACTCAGAATGTGTTCAAATATATCTCAATGGTTTAATAGCACAGTGCTGAAACTAAGGGGGCTTGTACACATGACGGGAGTTTAGTCTCTAAGGTTTTATTCTATGCCCCCTAAATTGAAATGGTGGGCTTTTCATTGAAACTCACCATTTCAATTTTTCTGTCATGTTACAGAGAGGGGCCTGATTCTTTGTTGTTGTTGTTGGAGCTGGAGCCTGCCTGCATGTAGGGGGTGAGCTGCCAGAAGGCTGAGTGGCCCCTGAGCTGTGGGGGGCCCTGGTTCTTCCCTCCACAGAAGTGGCACCACTTGGGGACAGGGGCTGCTAGTGGGCTGGGTGCTGCCCCAGCTCCGAGGTAGCACCTGGCCCGATCCAGCTGTTCCCCAAGTCTGCCTGGGGAGCAGCGCCCAGTGGGCTTCCAGCTGTCAGGCTCAGGGAACAGTTGGATCAGGCCAGGTGCTGCCTCTGAGCTAGGGCAACACTGCCATGAAGGGAGGGACCAGAGCCCCCCACAGCTTCGAGGCCCCTTGGCCCACCAGCAGCTTGCCCTTCAGCTGCAGGAGAGGTGGGCAGGCTCTGCCGAAAAAAAAAAGGATTGGGCTCCTTGTCTTTTTTGCTTTCAGCCGGCTCCTGTGGCCGGCAGGATGCCTAGGTCTGCCTGGGAATGGGCTGGCTTGTCCCTGGGGCAGTGCATGAAGGTGGCAGGAGGGTGGCTGGGTTTACTGGAGGCCAGAGAAAGTGGCAGGGATGGTGTATGGGGCATTGGAAGGCAAAAGGAGCCTGGTAAAGGCAGAAGCAGAGAGAAGCCTGATCCTTTTTTTCTGTGGAGCCTGCTGCCTCTGCAGCTGGCAGGTAGGCTGACAGCTGCATCATTGCATTGTTACAGTTTGCAGCTGACAGCTGCATTGTTGCAATTTGCAAGGTTGCATCTGGATGTAGTTCAGTTTGCAACAATGGAAACTCATTTAAATCCCCCCAAACTCTTGCATGATGCTTCAAAAAAAAATTAAACCATAAATTAAAACAATATCCAGTTTTTCAAATATCATTTTTGGTATTTTTTTAGTTTTCCGTAGAATTTTTCCAAAAAAAAAAAAAGCAGCTAACTCTGCCTACAGAACATACTATCAGTTCTGTGTCTTGTGAAAGAATCCATGGAAGGGAAGTCACCCTGAAGACGTCCCTAAATCTGAAATGTTCACACACAGGTTCTTCCTGGATCTTTGAGTTCTGCATGGTTGCCTGGCAATACCCTTCCCATCCTGACATCTATAGCATCTGCATATTTGGAGTCAATGCTGGATAGGTTTGGGCTCTTCAAATCCAAGAATCATTATAGGCAAAAACATTCTCATCCATAGCCTTTTGCTAAAACAATGGATTGGAGGATGTCTTCTCCCTTCTTTTCTCTCCCTAATCCTGTAATTGGGCTTTTAGGGTGTTTGTACACATGACACCATTACCATGTACCAATGACTAAAATGTCACTTTGTGTGTATATAAATATAAATGGCTTCTTCTGTTTTATATATATTAACATATTTCCATGCGACATTTTGATTCTGTCAAATTGGCTTCTTTGGTTCTCTATATATACACATTTAGGTTCTTTCTTGCCCCAGTTGTCTATATATACAGAGAGAACCGAAGAAGCCAGTTTGACAGAATCAAACTGTCTCATGGAAATATGTCAATTTTCCTGAAACTTCCAGTGGAAGCCAGTGAGGCCAACTATCGTGTCTAACTCTGAAAGGCTCCAATGTACTGGGGAGTCAGGAAACAGCTGCCCTGGGAAATAACTCCATGAGCTGTTGCCTCTTCTTGCTGTTTAAGACACCAGATGGAGACAAAGACCCCAGTCAGCTCCCCAGGGAGCTAAACAGGCAGTTGAAGTGCCAGGGGAAGGCTGATTATTATTATTAACAACTCCTTTGTTTTTTGTGAAACAGAAATTTTCAGGATTTTTCTTCCCATGGACAAAAATTCTAATTTTATTTTGTTCTGATTCAAGATGAATTTCTTTTCAAAACAATAACAGGATTTTCATTGTCTGGCCTGTTCTGCTCCTGACCTCTTCACTGAGTGGAGTTGGATGTTTGAGGTACTCCATTGCCTGATTTATAGTAATGGCCACAGGTCAACCAGTGAGAAGGGCAACCCTGTTTAGCACACAGTACAGAAGAAAAGCCAAAGTTGAGATGAGAAATGATTTGTGAAGCTCTGATGATTTTAATGAAAAATGTTTTTTTCTTTCCCAGTTTTTATCTTCTCCCTGGTAAACAGGAAGAATGGGTCCTATAGTTAAAGCTCTGGACAGAGACTCTGCACATTTAGGTTCTCTCTTGCCCCAGTTGTCCTAGGGGATCTTGGGTAAGTGACAGTTTTATGAAATAACTGCTATTTTTGGGTGCCCAGGTTGTGAAATTGGAGCCCCAGCCCTTTGACACAGACTCCTGCCCTAGATAGACTCCCACTGATTTTGATAGGACCGACTCTGTAGAGGTCTGCTACCATGCATCATCTTTGAGGATAATATTTCAATCTCTCTCCATATCTTATCTGTATAATGAGGCTTCTATTTTACAGGATTGTTGTGAGTATAAATCTATAACTCTTGCTAATATGCTCAGGTACTACAGTGGTGATCACAGTAGTAAAGGCATCCTATAAACAAATCTGAAATAGTTAACCCAGCTGTCAGGCTTGCCTGCTTTCTAAAACTACCAGTAGGAGGTAGGACTGGAAGGGATCTCACAAGGTCATCTAGTCCATCTGCTCAAGGCAGGATCATCCCTGACTAAACCATTGTAGACAAGTGTCTGTCTAATCTGCTCTTGAAAACTGCCAAAGATGATTCCATAACTTCTCTAGGGAGCCTGTTCCAATGATTGACCAGCCTCACAGTCAGAAAGTTCCTCCTAATCTCTAACTTAAATTTCCCAGCTGAAGCTTGAGGCCATTGCTCCTAGTCCTATTTCCCTTGGTCATAAAGAAAAGCCCATCTCCATCATCTCTGTAATTGCCTTTCAGGTATTTGAAGACTGTTATCAAATGCCACCTCAGTCTTCTCTTCTCCAAACTAAATAATGTGAGTTCTTTCAGTCTTTCTTCATCAGTCTTGCCTCCTCATCCCCTAATCATTTTTGTTGCTCTTCCAAACTGTCTACATTTTTCTTGAAGTATGCCCAAACCTCACTTGTGCTGAACAGAGCAGAAGAATCACTTCCCTTCATTTGTGACATGCCTGTTAAGGACATGGAGGCTGGATGAGAGAATAAGGTCCCACCAACACAATTAAATTAGCTACATTGATCCAGGTATGAAAAATTAGCAGGGGGAGGGGGGGGAGGAGGATCTTCAAGGGTCATCTGGTTCAACCCCCTGCATGGATGTAAGAATGCTACTCCTTAATCATCTCTGACCACTGCTTATGCAGCCTCCCTTTGGAAACCTCCAGTGAAGAAAACGACAGCTTCCCTGGGCATTGTCTCATTTCTAACAAGAAGGAGATTTCTGCTGGTGTGTAATCTGAATCTACTTGCTGCAGTTTTGAAACCATTGTTTCACATTCTGTTATCTGTGGCTTGAGGAAAAGTTGTTCTCCCTCTTCTTTATGGCAGTCTTTCCAGATATTCGAAGACTTCTATCATGTCTCACCTTAATCACCTGCAAGCTAAATATACTTAGTTTTCTCAGCCTTACCTCATACTGCTTGCTTTCCAATCCCTTTGTTGTTTTTCTGGTTGCTGTTTAAATGACTTAAAGTGTCTCAGAAAGAAATCATGCTTTGATTTCTTTTTTCCTTTTCAGTAGCTTGGCTATATCAAAATCTTATGTTTGCAAATGTTCCATGTTAGGAAGCACTGGGAGTTTAGAGTCTTCTGAATGCCCTCTTACTAGCATGTGATAGGAACAAATCTTGATATACATAATTTCCAGTAGCTTTGTTGAAGAATGAGGAATTCTGCATGATATGATAAAATATGATTTTTAAAATTGTTTTCATGACACTCAAAAGTCTGGTAGAAGCTATACTAAAAAGGCATAACCCTGAAAAGACAAGTATATCATGGAAAGGCAATTTACTGGCAAATGAGTAGAAGAAGGAATGTGAGACAGTTTTTTTCTCAACAGTCTGTAAAGTGCATTTGTATTAACAATAGAGTTGAGTTAAAAATGAATGTCATTGAGGACTTCAATCTAGAGATGAACTGTAATAAACCAATAGGTAATTTTGCTTGCCTTATGCATGTAAGAAGTCTTATTAGGGTTAGCAAGACCATACATACATGCGAGTCAGCTGCGTTTTACTCCAATAACAGTTATTCAGATTTGAATGTACAGTTATACTGACACAAAATTTCTTCACCGCTGGGAAAGAAAATGAATTCTGGGCACATGTCTGAATCTGAGTGAAAGAAGGACATTAAGTTAGTACTGGAAATTCTAGGGAGAACTATCCTAGTCAGAAGGCTTAAATCAAGATCTCATGAAATTTAGAAGTTCCAGATGTTTTTACACTTGCCTGTGTGTCTTTATATGTTTTTACAGGTTTTCCCTCAATTTATGTGGGTTCTCTATATGCGAATTCACTCTTATGTGATGAGCATTCTTAGACCCATAATTCATTATATGTGAGGTAAATTTGCTTTTGTGCAGTCGACATAGGTGCTCCCCACCCTGTCCAAGCAGGTAAGTCTGTGGGGGGAGGAGAAAGGGCCATGGGGCCAGGGCCCCATTCACCCCAGCCCTAGCTGCAGCAGCCCCTGGAGCAGCTGGTGCCAGCTGCCTGCAGCTGCTGGGCTGCACTGTGTTCCACCTGTCCCCTCACACCAGGGCTCTTCCTGTCCCCACTCACCCCAGCTCCTTGGCTGTGCTGTGCCATGGTGCAGGTAGCTGGTGTTGGCTGCTTCTGGGGCCACTGCAGCAGAGGCTGGGGTGAAATGGGAGCAAGTGGAGTCCCAGGTGGCATGGGGCATGGCACTCACCCCAGCCCCGGCTGCAGCGGCCTTGGGAGCAGCCTGTGCCAGCTGCAGAGGGAACTGTCAGTAGGTGGGGTGGGTACGCCTCTTGCTGCTCTGCACCCCCCGGGAGGGCTGCGGGCTGGGGGGCTGTGCCGGGCTCTTCCGGGGGGGGGGGGTGTACCCCTATATCTGTGCACAGAATGACAGCAGGCTGCCGCTGTAGGCTGGGGCCAGTGGCAGCACTGAGCTGTTCCTGGTGCTCAGCGCGGCCCACCCTAAGTGCTGGGAAGAACCCAGTGCCCCCACTGGCCTCAGCCTGCAGTGGCCTGCTGTTGTCCTGCACACACACCTTGGGGCACTCACCCCTGGGAAGAGCCCAGCACAGCCCCCCAGCCCACAGCCCTTTTGGGAGGGGGTGTGGAGCAGCAAGAGGCGCTCCTGCCTCTCACTCACTGACAGTTCCCTCTGCAGCTGGTGCAGGCTGTTCCTGGGGCCGCTGCAGTGCTGTTCTCCTTGCCACCCGGGACTTTGCTTGTTCCTACTCACCCCAACCCCTGCTGCAGCAAGAGCTGTGGCCCCCCACCCCGCAATCACTGACAGTTCCCTCTGTTTTTCTCCCTTGTGCAGCCCCTCATAAG